TATATATATTTTCTCTGATATATTCCTTTCTCTACAGAGGAGAGTCATAGAATCAGTCCCTCCTTTGCCTGTGATATGCAAAGAACTCGGTGAGACAGAGGTCTATCAAAATTATAGCGAAATAATAGAGCTATTGTATTGGGTACTGCTACGATTAAGAGATCCATATGTTAAAAGTATACAGAAAGAATGCGTAAGTATACATATCACAATTTCCGAGATTTCAAAAATCAAAAGGATACACCACAGTATGGTATAAAATTTTAGATAAATATTTATATTACAGTATAATTCCATACTGAGGAAAGTGCCATTGGAAGTGCCGGTTGCAGCACCAAATCTTATATTTCAAATAGCAAATGCGAAACAATCTACGTCAGAAGAGAAATGGAAGTCAAATGCTAAAGGTCATTCGACATTTTATGCATATCACGGCAGCCGTTTGGAAAACTTCCATTCCATCGTACACTATGGTTTACAACAAAACATGTGCAAAGTGCAGTAAATTTATTATATTAAATTGAACTAGAATTATTTTTCTGTAATTTTATTTTTTTTCTACTGATAAAATTACAAAAAATTAAACTTTCTTATTGTCATAAAATTATAAAAAATTAAAGTTAAAAAAAAGCATAAACTTAATTTTGTTATTTCAGAGATCAGAGTTTGGCAAAGGAATATATTTTTCAAGCGAATTAGGAGTGAGCTTACCGTACAGTCCTGTGGGTTATGGTTGGGGAGGTAGTCTTCTTGGAAGCGAGATAAGCTGTATAGCTCTCTGCGAGCTTATTAATCATCCTGATATAAAGAGAGGAGATTCAAGTAAGCGTACAATCTGCGAGAGTGATAATAGTTTATAATATATCAAGGTTTAAAAAGAAAGTTTCTACAATAGTTTTACATTTCAGGAGATAATGCACAAAATACATTGAGTGATTCAGTTGGTGGAAGAATACCAGACAAGTATTTTGTAGTGACAAATAGCGACTTAGTAAGGATACGCTATTTGCTCGTTTATACTCAAGATCTCCATGCAACTAAGTAAGTTAGACATAATATAAACATTAATTAAGCTTTGTCACACACCATTGCTTTAAAAATCTTCTTACTTTAGTACTACTGATAGTACGGGATTGCTGGCATGGTTCAAGCAACACAAATTACTGACATTTGTGCTCGGCTACGTCGTGCTGTTAGCCTCAGTTGGATTAACACAGAACAAACAAGTAGAGAAATACTATAGGTTATTTATTCAAAAGGCAGGATTCGAATAAAAGAAGGATAAGAATATAAATTTATACTACTTGATTGTTACAAGTTGAAGTCTTGATATGAAAGAAAAAAGGTTACAAATGCCACATTTTCATAAAATTAGACTGTATGTGCCAAGATTAATAGCATCGTAAAAAGTTGCAAATGCTTTAAAATTATATAAAAGAAAAAAATCTTTTAATAGCATTTCTATGATTTACATTTTTGGCATTTACAGCCTTTTTACTTGTCAAGTCTTCGATTATATTGAACTCTACCAATTCGTATGTATGAAAAATATCATCTTTTATATACATTTTTTAAATATACATGTGATAATTAAATAAATATTTTTATGCTAAAGATGTATATATATATATATA